TTTTTACAAAAATTAACTATAAAGAAAAGGAAGAGAAACAACTTGAGATGGAGGATGCACTAAAATTTTAACATACATTTGAACCAATAACATAAAAATATAATAGTTTTAGAGAAGAAGTTCAAAGGCTTAACTCATTAATTATTCTGATTAGACTATAATATTTGGTAACCAAATATGCATATCCTTAAATTGCTTTAAATAAAAATTCAATTGTTATTATGAATCACTAAATTATAAGAAAATAATGACTTGCATTACAAGAATGATATATTATGTGTAGTGTAACAACTAAAAATACAATATAATTATAAGTCTATGTACACAAAAGCATGAGCGACTTAAAGGTTAAGTGAGTGTCACACGGGCATATTACTTTACCTAAATTTCGTGTAAGAGGCTAGCCTAATGTGAGGCAGTCAAGTCCCACTTAACTCAACCCTTTTCGCAGCCTATTCTGCCAAACGTTTTAAGACGTTTTTCTGTTTTTACCTTAGATTATTTTTTAGACTTTCAACAAGGAAATCAACACATAAACATACGGGCAAACCCAACCTTTATATTAATAATCAAAACAAATACAAAGGACTCACTCGTTGGAACAACAATTCTATCCAACTTCGACTTCGACTTCCACTTCAACTTAAGACACAATCACAAGTCGATTGCTGCCTTTGACACCTTTTTAAATCCCTCACGTTTTTTCTAAGTGTCTTGGTGAAATTCCAGATTTAGTGTTCCCTCTTTCACCCTTAGATCACAAGTCTATCCTCTTGTTTTTCTCTCAAAATGTCCAACACACAAGGCTGTCCATTTATAGAACATGTGGCAGCCTTGTGTTTTACATTGCATAGTGTTGTGACACATGTCTAACCCTTGTCAAGCACTTAGCCCACTAAATTAAACTTCAGTTGACATCCCCAAATGATAAGGCATTTCAAATTTCGAATTTTAAAAGCTATTACAAGATACAAATGAATCTGGACACAAGCGTACAGAAAAGGTAACAGTCGCATGTGTTTGGCATGTGACTTTGCCTGACTGGTCGACCATTTGCTTCTTTTCCCTCCATATTTTTGGCTCCAATACAATCTCTAAACATTTTATAGTCATTATCTCATCAAAGTCCACCCGCATCCATCCGCCCGTTTTCTATGTCTGCGCGCCACCGACGCCTTGTTGCTGCCTGTCGCTGCCTTGCGTTGGTCATATTATCTTTTTATTCACTCGTTCCATTCATTGTTATCTTGTTGCATGTCATTCACATTTGACTATACTTTAATTTATCCCATGTCAATTTTTCCGTATTTGACCAGACCATGTGATTTTTGCATCCAAACTTCGCCCACAATCAATGCCGGTTAGCATCCATGACATCTCATGGCATGTTGCTTTGCCAAAATCCATTTCATGTCATGAAACTTCTTTCCAGCATTGTTTGACACCACTAAGTCATGCCAACACTTTTCTCACACAATGCATGATTGATTCCACTCGCATTTTGGCCCTTGACAAAGTCGCAACCCTTTGCCACCACCGTGCCTATATCGAGTAACTTGGTCAGAACCCTTATAGTGAGGCTAGATAAGTTTTTGCTTTAGGCTTGCGAAATTTAATTTTAGACCCCAAAACAATTTAATAGTGAAGCTTATGATTTAATTTTCGCTTAGAGTCGGTGGCGAAGCTAATTTTAGTAAGGTCTAATCTAAGGGGCTTCAACATCTATTATATATACATAAAAATAATTTTAACCAGATATAAATAGTAATATTTTCCATCAAAGGGGGTTCGGATGAACCCTGACTCCCTAGCTTAGACAATATTGATAGACAATATTGAAGATGGTGAAAAAGTATAAGTTCAAACGAGTCCCGAAGCGCGCATACCCCCCATTTCGACAATTTTTGTATGCTATAGCACACTATTTTTTTGGTGATCCGGATTTCATCATAAAAAATTTCTGACATTTTTTGTGTATGTCCGTCAAGACCTTGACTATGCATCCGGTTGGTCCTCACGGCCCGTCCGACCCATTTTCAAGGTCTAACGAGCCCTGAAGCGCGCATATCTTCAATTTCGATGATTTTGTGTGCTATAGCACATCCTTTTTTTGGTGATCCAAATTCCAATGTCTAAAATGCCAAAAAATTTTGTGGACGTCCGTCAAGACCTATTCTATGCTTCCGGTTGGCCCTCACGGCCAGTCCGACCCATATTCAAGGTCAAACAAGCCATCAAACACGCATACCTCCTATTTTGACAATTTTCGTGTGTTATAGCACACTATTTTTTTGGTGATCCTGATTTCAACGTTAAAAATATCGAAATCTTTTGTGGACGTCCATGAAGACCTTGACTATGCAGCCGATTGACCCTCACGGCCAGTACGACCAATTTTCAATGTCAAACAAGCCCCGAAACACTCAAACCCCCCATTTCGATGATTTTCATGTGCTATAACACATCAATTTTTTGGTGAACCGGATTCCGACGTAAAAAATGTCAAAATTTTTTGTGGACTTTCGTCAAGACCTTGGCTATGCATCCAGTTGGACCTCAGGGCCAGTCCGACCCGTTTTCAACGTCAAAGGAGCCCCGAAACGCGCATACCCTTCATTTCGATGATTTTCTTGTGCAGCGCACCATTTTTTAGTTATCTAGATTTCGATGTCAAAAACGCCGAAATTTTTATGGACGTCCGTGATGACCTTGTCTATGTAGTCGGTTGGTCCTCACCGCCAGTTCGATCCATTTTCATGGTCAAATGAGCCTCAAAACGTGCATACCCCCAATTTCGACAATTTTCGCGTACTATAGCACACAATTTTTTATTGATTCAGATTCCGATGTCAAAAATACCAATTTTTTTGTGGATGTCCTTAAAGATATTGGCTATGCAGCCGGTTGACCCTCACGGCCAGTCCGACCCATTTTCAAGGTCAAACAAGCCCCGAAGCGCGTATTCCCCCGATTTTGATGATTTTCGTATGCTATAGCAAAGGTTTTTCGAGGAGAACGTCTTGGTCTTGTTGGACTTCACTGTAGACCTCCCGTTTTTGGTAAATATACTAATTCAGTTGCTGTTTCATTCTAGTTCTTGAGAAAATCCGAGTTTTGGTTGCAAGATGATATTGTGTTGTTTCTGAGCCCCGAATTGTGTTCTAATTTGGAACACAAGTTCGGGGAGTTGTTTAAGACCTATTTTTTGGATTAATTATGGAATTTTCAGCGCGGGTTCCATTGTCCCTGTTTTGACCCTGAAATTGGTATGTCTCTTTCTTGTGATTTTAGTGTCTAAACAATCATAATAATGTTGTGTCTCTAATTTTGATAGAGTAGCAGTGTTTTGAGGCCGTTCGAAATGGGAAAGCTTCGGAGATGTGCTTTTGGAGCGCGGGTGATCGGCCTACAGGTAGGCTACAACTTCCCTATATTAGATTGAGCTCGAACAACTTGTAGGCTTGAAAACTGTTATTTGAAGCATATTGGGCCTTAGTTTATGTTTGAATACGGCTTGCCTTAGAAATGTATGATTCGGAATCGGTAGGACTTAGTTTTGCCCTGACGTCGCTCGGCCCGTTAGATCCTTGTAGAATGGTTTAGAAGACGTGAGTCTGATAGTTTGGGCCTTAGATAGGCGATAAGCTTGCTCCGTCATAGATATCCTTACTTCTTCGATACTACGGCTTCACGAGTTACGTCGGCGACACAAAGTTTCACTCCACAATTCAAAGTTGGTTTTCAATTCGGTTCCAAGAACTTACATTGATTGGCTAAGTTTGGATTGTGTTCCATGGGCATTTATGATTATGGATCGATAGAGACTCTTTCAGCAGCTATATTGGCACCTTTGTCCGGCATTCGGATTCAAGGCCCGTTCTCGACCTCATTGATAATTTCTATGATAATCCGATTTAAGGTCCACCTCGATCACCCGCATACTTATGTATTGCTTCCAGTTAGAAATCTGGTCTCAGTTACTTATATTTGTGATTGGCTACTTGGGTACTTCTAGTGAGCGTCCGGTTCGAGGTTCGGCCTCCATACCGTCAGATTCTACTAATTGGGGTTGACATTTTGGTTCGATGTTCTCCGGTCTTATGTTCTCATATGCAATTCTCTTTAGAATAGTTATTTTGTGTACTCATCGGGCTTAAAGGGGTCCATTTGGGTTTTTATTTAAACTTGTGTGCGAGTGTACCTTCTGGACTTATGGGGGTCCAGTTAGGTCTAGCTAGCTTATATATTACTTTAATTAGTTCTTTCTACACTCGTGTGCATTAATCAGATATAAATAATAATATTTTTCATCGAAGGGGGTTCGAATGAACCCAGGCTCTCTGGGTTAGACAATATTGAAGATAGTGAAAAAGTACTAAATATGTATGTATGAAATTCTATCTTTTTAACAAAAATATTTTAGAACTTTGAATTAAATTATTCAAATGTTTATATTTAGTAAATAGAGTTTGTACAACAATTTTCAAAAGAAGACATCATAAACACATTGCTAACATCTTACTTAACTCTGTATTAAATCTTACTATTATAAAGCTTGAATAATATAAGATTGAATCAAACACTTTGAATCATAAAATGTAAATCATACATAAAATTACAAGAAAAATAATAAAGAAATTTGATAACAACTTAAGTTAGAAAAGACAAAATCATACACTTTTGAATTATAAAACATGAATCATACAAAGTGTGGATGGTGGTATGGAACACTATTTATACATGCACAAAATTTTTATTTTATTTTTTATTTTATCTCTTTTTTTAAAATAAATGAAAATCAATAAAAAAAAATTTAATACCGATTGAATGCAGTGATCTAAGTAATATGTATATTTTAAGTTCTTGAGAAATGATTGTTAGACTGCGCTAACTAATATCTACATTTTAATATATCGTACAAATAAAAATGAGCGGATATCATAACAATAAATTAAGATGTGAAAGAAATTGAATTCCTCTGATTACTCGTTGCCATGAATAAAGAAAAAAATATATCATTATTCATTTTCTTTCTCGAATCTCATCCACCACCCCCTAACTTCGACTACAGGCTGTTCATCATTTCCGTCACACGGATGATGGCAGCATCGTAGAAGAAACTATGGACCAAACACCAACTCCTTCATCAACCATAACTGCAGATTCTTCCCTCTCATCTCAACCTCTTCATTCTTCTTCCCCAAACAATAACAACAACAATCATATTCTCGAAATCACCCTCATTTCTGCTCAAGATCTATCTCCCGTCTGTAAATCCCTTCGCACCTACGCGTTAACTTGGGTTAATCCCAATCGTAAACGCACAACTCGTATTGATAATCATGGTCACAATAACCCCAATTGGAATGACAAGTTCTCTTTTCGCGTAGACGATGAATTCCTCATCTCCGATTCATCAGCTATCCATGTTGAAATTTATACAGTTTCATGGTTTCGTGATATTCTTGTAGGTACTGTTAAAGTCATCCTCAACAATCTCGTAAATCCTTTCGAAAATACCAGCAATTCGAGTAAGAAATTTGTAGCTCTTCAAATACGTCGACCTTCTGGTAACCCACAAGGAATACTCAATATGGGTGTTTCGCTAATCGACAAATCGAAACGGAGTATGCCGTTGTTCAGTGAAATTACGCCATTGTCGATGGATCATAGAGATATTTTAGACAGGAAAATAAATGATATCAATGCTCAAGATGAAATGATCAACAATAACCACAACGATACAGATGAGAAACTGAAAATTACCAACAAAGTTCAGATCTGGCAATCACATAACCTAGCTTATTCCGAGATCAACAATGGAGAATTTCCAAATCAAGCAGGGTCGATAGTAAACGGGTCAGAACTATGCTCTGACATTGGTCCGTCTGCATCCATTGTGGCAGCGGAGACTGCAAAGAAATTGCAGCCAATGCTGCCACAACGGGTAGCATCGAATAGGGGAAATGAAGACGGAGAGAGTTCGATATTGGGGGAGTTGACAGCAGAGGAAGCATACGCGAAAGGATTGGAAGAAACTAAACGAGGAAGAGGAGGACATACACGAGACGGAGGATTGTATTCGTGTTTTGGAAATGCATATTGTTTCGAGTTCACAATTGTATGTGGAGCGGGCAACAATAACAATAACAATAACAATAATCAAGGGAATCGTAGAGTTAATAACAGTAATAGTAGTACTGGCAAGAGCAGAAAGAAAACATATTCTGCTTAAATATTAAATGTACGTGCCCCTTTTTGTATACTAAACTATACTATGAAATAAGGTGTAACAAGTAAATAGCCTAACAAGTGAACAAATTGCTAAAACAAAAAATGCAATTAATATCATATTTGTTCATGTCCTCTCTAAGACTGATTTTATTGTAGTCTAATATCACACATTGTATTGGTACGGCAGGAATGAAGTGGAGGCTTGCCTTTGAAGTCTTGTGTGATAAAAAATTAGCGTCAAAATTCAAAGGTAAGTTCTATAAAGTGGTGGTTAAACCGGTATTGTTGTATGGGGAGAAGTTTTAGCTGGTCAGAGATTCTCACGTACAAAAGATGCATGTTGCGAAGATAAAGATGTTGAGGTGGATGTATATCATACTAGAAGCAATAAGATTAGTAATGAGAATGATATCAAGGATAAGATGGGTGTGGGATTTGTGGTAGACAAGATGAAGGAAATAAGACTAAGATGGTTTGGACATGTTGAGAGGAGATGTGTAGATGCATCAGTGAAGAGGTGTGATTGGTTGGTTATAGAAGGTAAGAAAGGCACAGGTAGACCGAAGAAGTATTGGGGAAAGGTGATAAGACAAGATATGACAGTATGTTGTTTATTGTGTTTTGATTATCACAATATGTTATTGTTTTTTGGCTCTTTTCGGATAGACTTTGCACTGTTTCCTTTATACTTTCTTCACCGTCTCCTTCTTTGTTGCACTAGAGTAGAGGGCCTTTAAAAAATATGTCTACCTTCACGAGTTAGTGATCAAGTCTATGAATATTTCATCCTCCCCAAGCCTCACTTGTGGGATTTCACGGAAAATGTCATTGTTGTGGTGGTTGTCATCATTAAAATCAATAAAAACCTGCATCTAATGGTAACTTTTCCCTTGGGTGGGAGTAGTACTTGTTTGAAATAAAACAACTTGAAGAACTGAGAAAAATTCTAATCATGAGTTTTAACTTCTCTTCTATAATTGCAGAACCAAATATTTTCTTTTGTTTTATACTCCAATTTAGAAAAGGTTCCTTTTTCTATATTTCCAGTTCAGCCACAAGAAAAACGTGTTTGATCGATCATAGTAAACTACAGGTCTTCCCTGTCTCATGTATGTGCTTGAGTCATCCCTGTCTCGTGTTAGCAAGATTAATGTGCTTGAGTCGTCCCTGTCTCATGTTTTTAACCAGCGCGCTATGTGCTAGAGGATCATATGCAATTGGAGAGTTCCATGTCATATATCCCAACAAGGTTTACAAATAGGGATGCATATATATTTGTTTCAGTCTTCAAAATGATCAATGATACATACAAGACCTTCCACTTCAAGATGGATGGACCAACCTATTCTTGATATGATATCTTCATCATTAATACAATTGGTCTTATTCAAGCTATATCTTTATTTACAACTTTTTTCAAGTTAAAGTCGCCATCTTTATAAGTAAAGTTGCACGTAATCAAACCAGTTAACATTTTTCAATTTTCAGCAATCAAACTTTGGCTAAAAATGTTGAAATGGAAATTTCAACAGGTTGATACATCTAAAAAAGTTACTTATTGTATGGCTATCTCCATATTCTTTTTTTCAACTCACTCTCACAAAAACGTCAGAATACACAGCTTAGAGGTGTTGCAGAGGAGCTGATAACAGATTCCATGAGTGATAATATTGTAGCATAATAAAAGAGAACTGCAATGTAGCAAAAGTGCCACATGTATCGCGAGAGGCGAGATTCAGAGGGGAGTGAAGTAATAACCTGCTGGCTGTCCCATCCCATAGGGCATTGATGGTTGCATTCCAGCACCATAGTAGCCCGGGGTAGCTCCTGCAAGTCTGGACAAACCCATTTGACCTTGCATCCCGTTGCTTGCATATTGCTGCCACAGCTGTTGTTCCTGCATTAACAAATGTTGTTTCCTCTCCTGTTCTGCCATTTGGACGTAAGAAGGAGGTGGCACGGCAAGGGAAGCGGCAAATGGATCTTGGTTCCTTACTGGTTGGACTGTTCCATCGGGGGCAGGTAACGCAAGCATAGGTGTTGCAGTCTTTCCAACTCCAGGCAATGCTACACTGCTGGCACTCCCACCAGTCACCTGAGTATTACTCACGTGCTGCCTCACGGTTCCCTGATCGTACATCCCGTTTAACAAAAGTGAATCAAAACCACCTGCTAAATCAGCCGTCTGCTTTGACAAATTACTGGCGGTTTCTACCAATGCTAACTCCCAGTCAGCTTTGCCAATCTCAGCAGCTGGTGTCTGCCAAGCTGAAGTTACTTGTCCGGTCTCTCCATCAGACGGGAATGCTTCCCAGGAGCCACTCCCCTTCGCTACAGGCCCAGAAAACAGAGCTAATGCCATTTTATTGCCCTCGCCATCAGCTGTCACTCCATCATCCTTCAAATTCACCAAGTCTTCAGTTACCTGCTGAGCATGTGGCCTTGGCTGTGGTACAGATTGAGGAGGAGCAGGAGGAGGAGGTGTGTGATTCTCGGGTGGTGGGAGAGCTTTAATTTCATTCATGTCTGGTGCGTTCTCCTCTATAACTGCTGATGCACGCTCCACCCTATTTATCTCGGGGCTCCTTGGCCTATTTGCCCTCTCTCTCAAGAATCCCTCAAGTGTGCCCAAAAGCTTATCAGTGATGACTTGCACTTCTGGGAACTCGGATGATCTTGCAATCCCAACATCCTTGCACCAATTGTAAGTGCCCACAAGCTCATCGATCATCTTTGCTGCACTAACATAAGCATCAAAAGTCTTGACACAATCAGCATACTCCATCTCTGCGAATCGATCCAACAAAATCTGTAATACCTCACAAATATCAGCATAAAGCTTGAAGCTCTCATTCACAAGAGAATATAATGTCGCCAGCACCATCCTACTATTCTTGGCTGCACCAGTCGGTCTACAAGCCAAGAACCTATCAAGAAGCTGAAGCAATTGATTCAACCTCTCTAAAACCTTCTCAGGCTTCATTTCTCTGACTGGCGTCGCGCCACTTTTCTCTTCCCTTCCAGCAGACTCATCAGGCTCATTAGAGAACCTCTTTCTCCTATCCATCCCATTTCCCTCGGACCGATACTGACCATAACCATCAACGTCATTCAACTTCCTACCATAAGTAGAAAATTCAAGCTTCTGATCTAAATAAATGGCATAAGTCCTAACAAATCCAGAATGATCCCAGGAATTAGAGTGTGCTTCATCACGAAAACCAGACATATTCAAAACCCTCATCCCTTTCCGACTTGCATACATGATCTCTTGACCAATTACAGGGTCTCCATCAGTTAATAGCCTATGCACAAGCACTAAGGCCTTCAACGCCACAACCCAATCATGGGTTTTGCTTAACCTCTTTGACACTGCAAAAACAAAAGCACTAACATACCCTCGAGAATTAGAGGTCAAGTGCAAAATCTCCCTAATATATTTCTCATCTGCTGGATCATTATCATGAGTGGTTGCTTTCACCACCAATACTTCAAGGTCCGGCGCAACATTGCCGGTCACTTTAGCTAGGCTTATACTAGTTTGATCTTTCACTGCACCAATTGCCTTCCTAATACTCATGGCCACCACAATTATCTAATCCAACAACAACTTGGTGCCTTTAATCACCTTTCACAAAAACAACAACAAAAAAGAATCATTTAATCTAACTAGAATTGGTTACAACTAGAATTTAAAAAAAAAAGGAAAATGCATCTCGTTGAAGCGTGATCATCTCGTCTAAAAGTTTAAGTTGCACAAGAGAAACATATTATTAACACAATTATAAGCCTCATTCTTTATAGTCCAACAATGTGAAAATTCTTCTACTTTTTTTTTCTTCTATCAATCATCTAATCTGTGAATACAAAAAGTATTACAAAAAATCTTATAATTAAAAATCTTTTGAAGGTATGAAAAAATGGTTTGATTCTACATATCCTGAAGAAAAAGAACAACAACAACAACAACATACCCTGTATCCCGATTCTCTCATAAAAATGGAAAACATTGTAACTACATTTAACAAACAAACATTTAAAAAAAAATCTAAAACCCTTTTTTCAGTTAATCACAAAAAAAAATGAATAGATCCGAGTCAAAGCCGGCAATGATGAAACTTTCAAATAATCTTTCAGTAGATATCAGCAAATACAAAACGTCATCAATCGTTAGAACTAAAATTACTGAACACCCAGATGAAATCACATTAAAAATTGATAGATAATAGCAAAAAACTCATACCCTTTTCAGAATTTCACCCAAATTTTGATCGGAACTGATCGATTGTTTGCCGCCGGCAATTTTTTTTTTTTTTTAGTTTCGGAAAATCCAATTATACCAAAATACGATGTATATATATATATATATAGAACTGAGAGAGAAGAGAATTGAAGAGAAAAAAATTGAAGACGCGTAGAGAGAAAGAGAAGAGACAGTAATGGCTAAAGTGAGAGACTTTTTGTGTATATACAGTCAGTCAGAACTCATGGTGTTTTTGACATATTCATTCATTCATTTAAATACAATTTTTCAAAATATATGTTTTGGGTTACTCAACATATTATATTTGATAGTAGTATAAAATTAAATACATATTCTGTTTACTTGAGTTTTGTATGAGTTTTAACTGTTTGATTGTGCACACACTAAATTCAAATTAAAAAACATATTTATGTATTGTGCTTATATTAAATTAACGATGAAGTTATAGTTGGCAAAAAAAAGTGATCAATAGGGGTGTGCAAAAATGGAATCGATTAATAAATCGAATTGAAAAAATGTTATTGGGTTATTGTGTTTTTAGTTGGTTTATAAAAAAAAAATTATTGATTATTGGTTTGATATCGATTTTTATTATTGGTTTATTAGATAAATCGATAATCCTATAAAATAATAATAATTCACTACTTTATCCTTTCTAAAATATTATATATTAATAACTTAATATATTACTAGACACTATAACTTATCAAATTTTTAGTACTCTACCGACTTCATACTAGGTTGGCAATCGTAGCTTTTTTTTAATTTTTAGTGTTAGTTTTATTCTTGTTGGTGTAATTGTATGTTTGTAGCTTTTGCAAGTTTGTAAAAGTCTAAAATTTGATTAACATTTGAAATATCATATTATATTTTGCCAGTGAAATTTAATAGCCTTAGTACTATATTTTTTTTATTGATGCAATTTCTCATTATCTTTCTTGTTTCACTATATCAAAGAATTAAGAGAACTGAGAAGTCATATAATATTTTACTGATATTTTCTTATTAGGTAAATTGAAAAAACTGAATCAATAACGATCAAAAACCGATAAATTGATAAAACATATCTTTTTAATTTGTTATTGAATCGGCATATTTAAAAATAAAAAACTGATAAACCAAATTGATACTACGTAAAATCAAACCAAACCAGACTAACCAATTGCACACCCCTATGGCCTATCATTCAATTAAAGTTATACGATAATTTAATTAAAAGACTAATAAAATACCTACAATATAAAATCATAACTGGCAAAAGGTAATCAATTAAACATTTTTTTCAAAAATCATACTTCTATAAAATGATAAATTACAATAGTCCGGCAGTAATTAGTGAACATTTTTCATCAAAAAATTATAACTCTAATACTTAAACGATCTATAAAGTATTATACTTAATTCGCTCCATTTTGTCATTAGAGGAGTGCTAAATGATCAAAAAAAATTAACCAGGAAATTTTAAAAATTATATTATCTTTTTAATTTTAAAGTAATTGATCTTTTTTGATTTCTTAGTAAAAAATATTAAAGATAAAAGGAAAAAAATTTGAAAATAAAATTACATAGAAAAAAATCTCTTTCTGGCCAAAAAGATTTTTTTTATTTATTTTTTACCCCTCCTTATAAAGTTAATTAA